GTTCCAGTTCTGGTTTACCAATTAATACACAATTTGTATCGCAGCGTAAATTTAAAAGCGCAGAGCTTGATTTATGTGTTTAGATTTGGGGGGTCACCTTTTAAGCAATGGGTTTTTAAATACTTTTGAACGATGTTATCAAAATAGTTCAGTTTTAAGAATATAAAATGATCTCTTACTTGAGAATGAGAATATTGTATTTGCAATGATTAAATAAGAGAATCACCAATTAGGCTAAAGTCTATGCAATGATGATCTCTTGTTTGAGAATGAAAATATTATTACATTTGCAATTATTGCACCATAAATGAACCCTATACATGTGTATTTTACCACAATCAGATATAGAGGAATTAATATATTAAATTTTGCATCATCGGTGGAAAATCAACATGACAAATAATGACAGACATTAGGTAGATCATTTATGTAAATAATAAATGAGGGTGAACTAATCACAGAAGACTGGGATAGATCACAATTATTTGAGTGATGATTGTCAATAATTAGTCAGTGTGTGTGATATGAATAAGGAACACCCAGCAGTTTCCCAGAGAATCCATGAAGTTTAAAGTAATTAAAATAATGGCGACAAGTATGTGTTTCACTGCAATACGGAAAACAGTGTAAAAATTGTCAACTTTACATTATTACTGATGCACTGAAAATCATGTGATATAGAATTTGTTTGAGTGGATTGGAAAACCTGCATTGAGTATTCAAGTAATCACTACAATACAAATATAGATTTAATAAAAAAGTACAAGCAGATGTGTGTATAGCTATGATAGAACCAGTTCTATACAGTCGTAAAAGTAGTGATCAGACCAATATATATGAAAGAAGATAATATTTGATAATCGTTATAAGTAACTACTAAAATAGTTTTGAGCAATAGTCTGCAGTAAGTCAGATGATAATAATTATTTGCGTTTGTATGAATTTGAATGGGAATTGTAAACTAATCTTGCAGACAAAGCCTATTCCAATAATTCTAAAGCAAAAACTCATTAAATGATTATGCAAGTATGAAAAGTTACCAACTGAACAGAGTGTCGATTTTCTGACTTTTCCACAACGACGATCACATCTCTTTCATTTTTGTGATATTGCCAGTGAATCATTAAGTAAGTTTTGCCAATCATATGTGAAGTAAACATATTAATCTGCCACATCTTGTCATAAGCGGATGTACTAGTACCAATGGTCACTACCACAACTGCCACACAAGTGTGTCATGAAATGTACATGCTAAAGCCTATACAATATAATCCTAAGATTAACATGTTACTATTAGTTGTCACATTGAAAGGATTACAAAATAAACACAAGATAATTCATATTCTCTGTCAGGTTGTGAAAATGAATGTTGCTGTGGTGGCCACATTGTATTCAGCCGATTTTAATGTATACAATAAAATGTAAAACACAATAGTTCGTACCTTCTTCCTCTGTGGGACACATTTCTGTATTGATGTGACTGTAGTGTTTTCCTGTTAGCGCTGGCAGTACTTGAATAGTCGCCATCAGTTGGCCTTTGAATGAACCATCCAGATTTTGTTCATCTATGAGTGTACTGACAAGTTCTGAGCACTGCCATTCGGAGGGAGGTACTCCAGCTGCCATGTAAGCCTAATATTGAAATATCCTATAACCATACAATGTCTCGAAAGCAAATCAAAATACCGATAACATAATATCAAATCAATATTCAATGTTATCACAAATAGCACAGAGACTGTTTAGTATGAAATAATATCAGTATTATTATCAACGATTCGATAAAAAACAAATTGGACCACAAGTTTGAATGACCCTCAAATAAGGCATTACACATTTAACCACTGAATGTGCCTACATATGTAATGAAATCAGTTTTCATGAGTAATATATATATATAATCTATTAGATATGGTAATTACTTGGTAGGCAAGAGAGGATGCATGTATATTTCCGAAACTACCATCTGACTCCTGATGTTCATTTATATAGCTTATTCCTCGCTGCAGTGCCTCATTGATATCCGTATGATTAGCAAACTCTGGCATGTCTCGAAGACATGACAATGCAGACACGACCATGGCAGCTATGTCTGCAAAATATATACATGGTTTGAAATATTGACATTTAGGTGAAATCAACGTTATAAAGTAGGATTTATAATAGTAATATTAAATAATTTGACTTTCAAAATTGCCATTAACTAATTACTCGTGAAATGATAATGTATTCAGTCATCTAGACAAACCCGAATATAATATCATGGTCAATATTGATCAGCTATTTGATTCCTTTATTGAGCATTTTACAATAATATCGGAAAACAAATATACTGCAATGCAATGTACACATACGATAGATAACATTACTAGGTGAGTACACAATAAATATGTATTCTCAAAATAAGCATGTAAAACAGATCATAAATATTCTTGTTCCCCGAGAGAGTTCAAAATGTTGAAAATGTAAATCTGATGAAATCTGATGAAAACAACATGCCAGTATCAAGACAAACAAAAACAAATGGAGTGTGTAACCAAGAGGAGAGCCTCCTAGCACTTGACATATTTATGATAAAATACAAAGAGTGTTATCCTCGTTTCCACACAGAACACAGTTAACAACGTGTATATATTGCGGCCTTGGAATAAACTTGAAAAAAACGATTGCTTGAAAGTCCCGTTGGCTGAGCTAGAGAAGTTTAAATATGGTAAAGTACCAGTATTCAAGTGTGAAGACAAGAAGGTTTGTAGAAGCACGTAAAGTATTGGAGATATAAGTAGATGCCCATATCAGTTTAAAGCTTGAAGCAGTTAGGCAAAACGTTTCTGAATGTTATATATTTAGTTGTAGATAGTGATGACAAGAAACCAATTTGATGTGGACACCAAACCAAACAGGTCTTCAATTCCAAGCATACATGTCTCATGATATCATGTATGCAGTGGTGCCGTGTCATTTATAGTCGTTACGTCATCGTCTTTGTTACTTAATTGTCAGTAGGCTTTAAATTACCTTTCATATATAGATTGCATATTTGTTGTAGAATTATTTTGATCACCATTAAGATTTGGCGTTTGTTTCCCATGTGTGTGTGCCCTTTCATTTTACATGACAGGCAAGTTAGTTTGTCAGACGAAACGTAAGTGTTGTATAATTGACTTTAAAAAGTCAATAAAGCATTGATATTTATATCTTATAAGTGAACATAAACCTGGCGACGAAAAGCGGGAACAAATACACGTTTTATCGTTGTTCTTCGAGTAAGATTGCTCGCACCGCGCTTTATACCTCGCACACAATTGGCTAAAAAGTCGGTCTTCGGTCGGTATGGTATAAGGGGGGTTCGAAAGACACATGTAACCGCCTTCCAATACGTGTAAACTAGAATACTATGAATATTCTCACACCGTATCGCATGATAATTAGCTCATTTTTAGCTGTTCCATGACTTTTCCACTAATATCTAAAGAGCCACTCATTAAGTTTTGATGAAACTAGGTACATAGATGCTCTGAACTCATGCGAAGATTTGATTAGTTTTTGGTAAAAAATACGTGCATATTAATTACCTAATTTGCATGATAATTAGCTAATATTTAGCTGTTCCATGACTGTTCACTGATATCTTTGAACTGATGCTTTGAACTTGAACTAATGCCATGTTTTGATTAGTTTTGGGTGAAAATATGTGCGTTGGCGTCTCGTGAGCCTCAGCCATCTGTGTCATCAACCACCTTGCCAAATCATTGCCTTGCCAAGGCAAGAAAAACTTCAAACAAAAACACAATATGTAGTGACAAGAACAACTGAAACGAGCGTCAATGTAAAAAAAGCTAATTGCAGTAGAAAAACAGGGAACCAAAATAAGATGTGAATATATAACCTGCCTATGATCTATACAATCACATTGCACTATCGATGACATACTTACCCACACCT